GGCATTTTACAGACCCATGGACACGGGGCGCGGGGGGGCCTGATGTGTTTGACGTCCTGATGTCATAGTTATGATATCAACTTTTCATTATTAATTTTTGGTCAACTCTACGCAGAACGAACTTACAATATCTTGACATCTTGTAGTAGTATGCTTGAGTTCGCATTTCATCTTATTCATTATGGGATCCCAAGCAGATGGTAGCACCCAGCCATCTTCGCTATTGAAATTAGAATATTATTTTTTAATTTCACCACAAACTGTTAGTATTTTTAAAAACTGCCTAGCTATAATAATAATTTCAAATATTGGGTTTTCTAGATGGTAGGACTCCTTTGGACTGCCTCTGGGTAAGTACACTCTTACAGTTTTGTGCCGCCAAGCAACAGTTCCATGCACAGCACTTAGTTGGACAATATACTAGTGCATGCTTATTTTGTTTACTATGGTAAACGGCTTAGGTTACGTAAGAAGTATGACTTAATTATAACAACAATCACATATCATAATGTCATGTGGTGACGACGTAATACTATCACCCCATTTCGACTCGTGGGTATCGTAAGAGGTGACTAGGGAGAATGCCAGAAAGATTTTACAGCTCAGATATTTTACGCTAATTTTACGTTTAGCGTAAAATATTTAAGCTATAAGATCTTGACCGGTGATGAGAATACTATAAGATCTCGTATAGCCACCTGACAAGCGTGACGGTTGAGTCAAATCCTCTATTTCTATACGTGGTAGAGCCATGCTGCAGCTATATTAGTAGTATAGTTGTAGCACGAATGGGTCGGCTCGACCGGGGAAGGACCACGCTCTCACAGAATACCAGCGTAAAATGGCAGCTTGACAGTGATGTGTTTCGTATGGTGAGTGTAGAGAACCGGAGACCCATTTTACTGGAAAAGAGGCATTCCATCTTAGTGCACACGGGTGACGACGCAACTGCATTTTGATTCTTTATTGAGAATAAATGTAGATGTCTATGGGTCACAGCAACCACTTACCATCAGGTGGACTGTGTGCTCGTTTGTTACCCTATACTATAAAAGAAAATTTAATGGGAGAGGCCCATGTCCAGCTCTGGACTTTCACGAGTTGGTGTAGAAGAGGAAGATTTGGATCAGACGTCATTTTAATGACAAATAATTGTTCGGAGATACCGTACATCAGTATGTTGTATACTGTATACATGACAAATACAAATTATAAAAATGTGTAATAACACTATTCATCAGTGGTGTAGTTCACAAATTATTTTTTAACGATAACAAATTATTTTGTTATTCATTGATTCATTCATTCATTACAGCCTTTCACAAGAACACTGCTGAACATAGGCCTCCCCCAAAGAATGCTACAAATCACGGTCCTGAGTCACCTGCATCCCGTAAAAAGGGTGTCCCGTTCTCTGCAATCACCATACGAAACACAGCAGCATTAAGTTGCTATTTTACGCTGGTATTCTGTGAAAGCGTGGTCCTTCCCCGGTCAAGCCGACCCATTTGTGCTACAACTATACTACTAATATAGCTGCAACATGTCTTAACACCTGGTAACTCCATCTAGTGGGGAGCCGACCTACACTTCATAATTTTGTTAATAATAAAAAATATTTCGTCAACGACCCCACACTACTGCGAGTGATGCTATGTCGTTGACAATTAACCTATAAGTGAACTGTAAGTTCGTTTGTTACTTCAGTTTTATAAAAAAATATATATAATAACCGGCAGAAAGGGCTCCATCCACATAAACTACCAGCACTGTTTAAAATGTATGCAGAAAGGATTCTAGTTTAACCGTACAATACAATACTCTTTATTGTACAATAAGAAAATATTAATATAACAAAAATAAACAAATATTGATGGCGAAAGGCGGTATTATCTACTTAGGAATCTCTTCCAAACAACCCAGAAAATGAATGAAGTCAAAATAAGAGAAAATTTAGGATTTTAGTAAGTATCACTAGCACCTAGTGCATCGATGGTACTACACTGTGGCACATCTATACAAGTCTTAGGGCGCTTTTCCACCAGAGATGTGCTATGCAGCTATACTGCGAGGATGTGAAAGCTAAGCTATTAAACTATGTGACTATTTCCACTAATGCTAAGCTATGAAGCGGGGCGAGTAAGATGTGCTATGAAGATGCACCGCCGCGTTGTAGTTGTGCGAGGAAGATGCGCAGCTCGAGCTATGCGATGTCTCGACAGTAGGGAAGGCACGGGGAGCTCTGCTCTGCACATAGCTTCACCACTTGCGACCATCCATAACAGGCATCCATAGCACGCATCTATCCATATAAAAAACTTGGTTTAGTTGAACCTGTTTCCACCCGTGCTAAGCTATATGAACCAATGAATATGATTGGTGGATAACAAACGCACCCATAGCAACGTAGCATAGCACATCTCTAGTGGAAAAGCACCCTTAGAGTAATTACAATTACTATGAGATACAAGTAAATGAAATTGAAGTATCTGTTTATAATGTCAAAATAACAGTTTTTTACTAAATGTATATGGAAGTATATACGGTACTTAGAACAAAAATAAAACAATATTTAAAAATTTTGTCTGTTTGCCTGGACCGATTTTGACGAGATTTTCTCTGATCTGCCAGTGAATATCCCGCCATAAGAAAAAAGAAAACCTGATGTTATAAGGAGTAACTTAGGCTAACCTTTATTTTAGAAAAGGAAGAGATCCGATCAAAAAAAATTTTAACCCATGAAGTAAATCGTAATAAATTTCACGCGGGCGAAGCCGCAGGGAACAGCTAGTGTGTAAATAAACGGAAACTATGGATCATTTTTACTGCCTGATTTTAAAACATTATATTAACTACCTAATTAAATTACAGATTACTTACTTGCCTACATGATTATCAGCTTTGTGTCAAACATTTAAATTTTTCTTACCAATGCACTTTGTCACCACTAAAAACCTGTTGTCTGACCCCTCGTTATCGAGTGTTAAGGTGAAAAATGGGTTACGCCTCGTTAGAACCCAAAGGCCCTCGGCTAGGAATTTATTAACTGCCTTATTAATTTAGAGGCGAGACCGAAGCACCCTAATAGATCTTAGAATCTCAAGGGTTTTGTTAAAATTATCGTATTAGGTATATGCCCAAACGTTCTTGGTATATACAAATTTATATGCAAACATAATATGTAATTCTGTGGTATCTTTAGGGCGTTATTGGCCGTGACATCTTTCAACAATTATCGTAAGTTATTAAATGCACAGAATGTGTACCTATAGTTTTACAAGAGCACGCACTAACCCAGTCAAACACATGCCTATTTAATGTCTCGTGTACTATCGATATAATGTAGTTGTCCAAAAAATAGGGACACAAATTATCTGAACTTTCAAAAAGTCCTAAAAGTAATAAAATATCAATTATATAGAATCATCATTATTCTATCTTAAAATATTTCAATGGAATCAAAGTCACACTGATAGCAACATTATGATATCATCATAGTTTTATTTACTACTTTATGTATACAAATAAATAAAATTGAAGTGTCTGTTTGTAATGTCGAAATAACAGCTTTTTACTATAGGCATATGAATTGGTTACTTATAACAAAAATACAATTTTTAAAATTTTTGTCTGTGTGTCTTCCTATCAGTCTGTCTGTTTGTTCCGGCTAATGTCCGAAACGGGTGGACCAATTTTGAGCGAACTTTTACTGGCAGATAGCTGATGTTATAAGAAGTAACTTAGGCTACTTTTATTTTAGAAAAAGACTTAGGGTTCCGCACAAAAAATTAAAACCCATGAAATAAAATCGTTATAAATTACGCGCGGGCGAAGTCGCGGGGAACAGCTAGTTATTACATAAAGTTTCTGAGCATTTATATAACATTATACTACTATTCTATACTACATACCATCATAACAGAGCCGTGGTAGCTCAGGAGTCAGGGCTAAGCGCTCGCTCTAAATTTCACAGCAACTCGGGTTTGATCCGCGCCGGCACCAAGGAAATTGCTCTCTTACAATTTTAAAAATTGTAAAAAAAAAATGTTTTTTTACGTTAAAATATTGCTTTGGTCAAAAATTAATAGTAAACTAGCAACAGTTACTAATAGTGACATCTAGCGACATCGATGTATATTTACAATATGCTTAAAATCTTCAAATAAATTTCGTACAAATAAATACGTATTATGTTTACATTTAATTCGTTTACCAGTAACAGATAGGTTATATACATAAAATAGTTTTTGTTTCATATTACATATTATCTTAACAAAACCGTTATCTAAGTCCCTTCAGCGACATCTAGTGTCCACTAGCACAACTTTTAAGTACCATTTTTTTATTTTACTCTAAGGTACCTAGTTAAAATTAAATTAGATATTTTTAAATTATATTTATTGTTTTTATTGATATGTGAACCGTCCTTGCAATGAAAAATTGTAGACGCATCAAATCTGGTTCTTCTTACTAATTAATAATTGCTAAAAACAAATTATGCAAGATCAAATACTTAGTAATACATTTGATTAGTAGCAACACGCAAGATATTGATTCCACTTAAACATTTAAAACTAATTATGTCAAATAGTTATAATATATTTTAGCGTCTCATGCTTTCGGGTTGTAAAATATAGGTCGCGATATAGAACTCAGAAGAAAAATTTGTGCGACCACTCCTTCAGAAGCGAATTTCGACATTCCCCAAAACAAATCAAACAGATAAAGTTGATCTTACAAATATACTAGAAAATGATATCGTCCAATATCTCACAGTTACGCAAGTTTTTAATCTAAAAGCTGTCAATCCCGCTACGATAGTTCAGCCTGTAATCAAACTCTCTCATTTTATCAGAAATAAGAGATCGCTATCTTGAAAAAAATTATGCCGTGTCAAATATTTAGTTCGTGAGTCGATAGGATTCCAAGCAACCGCGTTTAGTGACGGAAACTGTTTAATTACGGTTCTGGGTGGCTACAACGTTACAAATCAGTCAAGAATGGATCGACCTAGCACGAGTCAACAGTCAGTGGAGAAGGTAGAAATGTTCGAAGTTCGGGAACATGTTCCTTATCAGGCAGAACTGACAAGAGCACCTGCTGCTTACGATGAAGAAAGTGGCGACATGTATAGTTCCAAATGGCATTCCGCTTGGCAGGCTATATGCCAACTCTTCAATCTTCTTCATCATATGCAGATAGCGATAGTCGTGTTCTCTATGTGGCATTTTGCTTTGACTTCTGCACCCAATGGATCCATCAGCAATTTACAATTGCATATCATATTTGCGGGAACTGGTGTACGTATACATTTTTAATTAAGTATAAGTTTTACGAAAACCAGGATAACATTGATCCTAAAGATTGATTGTAACCAACATAAGATTAATCTACCTGACCGATGGAGAAGAAAGGTTTTAAAGTGGCAGCCCCAATAGATGAAATGACTACCTAGTAAGAGATGTAGGACGTCGATGGAAGCAAATCACTCTAAACCGTATTTTGTGGCATTCCTTGGGAGGACTATGTTCAGAAGTAGACTTTCGAAGAGCTGTAATGATGATGTAGAAATTATTTATCAATGCATTCGCAAAAACCAATCAACCGTGACAACCTCTTTATATATGAATGGGATAACATAGTACTCAAGCTGTAGCCTACTCTATCCAGCCGATTAAAATAAAACTTGGACATGTTTCAAATGATATCGGTCAAAACAATTTCAGTCGAGACCAAAAATACAAAATTTGCACGTGATTGGTGTTCAGACAGAATTAACACAGATAAATAAAGAAAAAGAAATTCTGATAATTAAAGAATATAAAAAATCATAATACAAACTAAACAACTAAGGGCAGCAATATTATCAATTTAAGGAAATGCATCTTTCTTATAAATTGTTAATAATAGACGTTGATTAGTTACTGTATTATTATTTTATGTTATTGACTTAATGTGATACTTTCGAATTACTTTTTTTTATAGGATTAGGCTGACAAACGAGCACACAGTCCACCCGATTGTAAGTGGTCGCTGTGGCCCATAGACATCTACATCTATCCTCTTTTGCAAATCAAAATGCAGATGCGTTGTCAGCCGTGAGGACTAAGATGGAATGCCTCTTTTCCAGTAAAAAGGGCGTCCGGTTCTCTACACTCACCATACGCAACACAGCAGCATTAAGCTGCTATTTTACGCTATTATTCTGTGAGAGCGTGGTCCTTCCCCGGTCGAGCCGACCCATTCGTGCTACAACTATACAATGAATATAGCTGCAGCATGGCTCTACCACGTAAGAAAATTAAAAAAATATTACTAATACTTACTAAAATTATATAGACCTGTGAACACGGGTTCGATTCCCGCACGGAACAAGTACTTACGTATGCGGTTCACAAATATTTTTTCGGGTCCGGGTGTTTGTACACGAGCAATTTATGTGATACCTGGGCAGCAGGGCTACGTTATTAAAAATAACGTTTTTAAAACATTTGGAACGGTTCCTTGTATAACATTTTGTTCGGAACAAAAACTAAATGAGAACATAATGTGAAAACGTAAAAAAACCGGCCAAGTGCGAGTCGGACTCGCGCACCGAGGGTTCCGAACAAATCCGTTATATATAAGTTTAAAAATATTTTTATTATATGATGTAACTAAAAATTTATACTTTTCGCAATTTTTCCTTTATCTGTGCTATAATACGTTACTTCGTACCAAATTTTAAGATTCTGAGTTCACGGAAAGTACCCTGTAGGTTTTGATTCCCTTGCGAATGTCGAAAATTTGCGGCATAAACGGCTGTATCTTTTGATTGCGTTGGCTTAGAAGTTTGATTTTCACAGCTCCAAGGGACTTGAGTATTTGATATGAATTTCAGCTTGATACCTCCACGCGTTCTTGAGAAAATGGTCTTGACAGACAGACACACAGACAGACAGACAGACAGACAGACAGACAGACAGACAGACAGACAGACAGACGGACGGACAACAAAGTGGTCCTATAAGGGTTCCGTTTTTTCCTTTTGAGGTATGGAACACTAAAAACGGTTTATTCAGCAGGAAGCTAAATGAATGGCACGTGCCACGACAAATTTAAACATATAAGGTATTTTTGTTTCGTATTGCAGGGCCAAAAATGGGAAAAAACGGTTTAAAATAGTTAAAAACGTTATATTGAACAAGAACGTTTTCAAATTTCGTTCTCTTCATAAACGTTTTTATTATGATTCCGTTCGAACATAAACGAAACAAATAAGATTTTTAGGTATTTAAGGCGAAAACGTTTCGAAAAATATACCGTTATCCGAGCCCTGCCTGGTAGAATTACACTGCAGCAATATTATGGCTTCACCACGAACGGGTCGGCTCGTTCAGAGCAAGAACACGCTCTCTGAAAATACCAGCGTAAATAAAAGCTTTATGCTGCTATGTTTCATGTGGTGAGCGTACAAAACCGGAAACTCTTTTTTCTAGTAACAAGGCATTCTTTCTTAGTCTTAGTTAGTTACATTATGAGCCACAAGATCCACTTATCACCAGTGCTCGTTTGTCACCTTTATTCTATTAAAAAAAGTAAAATGGTTTCACGGCATGTGTGAAATTCTCAGTGTGGAGTTAACTTATTTTAAAGGTAAAAAAAAATATTGTAGGAATTAAAAAAGTTAAAATATTACCCTATCCACAAATTTTCTAATTAATATCTTTATTTGCTTGTTCCAGTATCAATTATTTTTGGTGGAGGCAGTGCTAACCTTACATCGACATAACGCATGGTCTGGTCAATTATCAAAAGATAGTAAACGAATCGTACATGGGTGCCTTCAGCTAATCGGTTCTGTGTTCGTAATTGCGGGAACATTTCTGGGGTTAGCAGAAGTCAAAATGCAAATCAACACGGCTCATGGAATCTGCGGTAAGTCTCATAAAAATCTAAAAGAAATAAAAATGTCCCTTGTAGGTCAGGGACATAAAGGTCCCATATGGGACCTTTATGTCCCTTAAAGGGTGGGAATTATAACAAAAAGAATGTGTCAACTGTGTTATTTGCCTAGCATATCTTCAAAGGCGACTAATGGTATTGGGTTTATGATTGTGTAGGCAATGGGCGATCACTTAGTTCATATTTTTCCTTCTAAGCCCATATTATTTGGATATACGTGGTCCGAGTGGCTACCTGCTACTTGAACTCTGCCTCCATCTTCAAAGATTACAGGCGTGGCCAGCGCCGTCTTAGACCCGTTGGGGGCCCTGGGCACTTTAGGATAAACGAGGGCCCTATGTTTGTCATAGGGTTACTGACAATAGGCAATAGAAATGGGAGTAGGAACTGGGGGGCCCTTTGGATCGTTGGGCCATGGGCACTTGCCCGGAGTGCCCATGCGCAAAGATGGTCCTGGGCGTAACATCTACGGGAAAAGTCTAAAAAGAAGTAGAGAACTTATGACTGACTGTTTGGAAAGTAATAGACATGGACATCTAAATAAAGAGAATATTTTAGAACAGATATTAATAGGCACTCAAAATACAAAAAACCAAAAGCACCTTATTGATAACAATAACAACTAAAAAAAAAACTGCGGCTGTCATCGTGCTTGCCAAGCAAGGTAACTAAGGCAAATATCCCCCCCTATAAGGCAATCGATGGGGAGTCCTGGATGGATGTTCAGCAATGGCCTTTGATAGGTTATGATAGTAATAGTCGGATGCAACAATTCTGTTGACAATAGTAGAATTTTTGTGTGCCATATGTTTAATGCTTTCTAGTAAATATTCAACGTGGTAGAACCATTCTGCAGCTATATTACTGGTATAGTTGTAACACGAGTGGGAAAATGCTCTCGCAAAATACCAACGTAAAATAGCAGTTGCACGCCTCTGTGTTTCGTATGGTGAGTGTAGAGAACCGGAGACCCTTTTTACTGGAAACAAGGCATTCCATCTTAGTCCTCACGGGTGACAACGCATCTGCATTTTGATTCGTAATTGAAGTAGATGTAGATGTCTATGGGCCACAACAACCACTTACCATCAGGCGGAATGTGTGCTCGTTTGTCACCCTTATTCTATTTAAATAATTTAAAATTAAAAATTTTGTACAGCCGACTTCAATATAAGTTATTTAAGAATAACTCAATAACCATTGGCCTGACCTTGATCAAATTCATATGGGACCACACGAGAACTATCAGCTTTCATATAAAAAAAAGAATCATCGAAATCGGTTCCCCCAGTACAAAGTTATGAGGTAACACACATTAAAAAAAACATACACTCGAATTGAGTACCGTCACCTTTTTGGAAGTCGGCAGAAAAAGTCAGTATTCACTGTTGTGCAATTTAAGAAACACTATAGCACTGCATGCATGCTTCTACTCCAGTATTCCATTTTGCTGATAAACTGATAATAAGTAAGAGAACTTTCATAAAATCTTTTTTATATAATTTTCAGGTGTAATTGCGTTAGCATTTTCCCTTATAAGCTTCGTCACCGGCATCGTAGCTCTCTTCTCGTCCAAAGTACGTTTAATGATCAAGAACGGACCGATGAAGATACTACACATAGCCGTAGGACTGTTTGCAATTTCAATGGGACTTATCACGATGGTTATGGGCTTCAATATGGACTATTTCAGCGCTAGCCAAGGCGGACTATCGACAGCTTTAATGGTGTTTGTTGTGATGATTCTATTTTACGTGATTGTTCAACCAATAGTTGATTTAGTGTCGACAACTCGTAACATATTGTGACTACAAAACATTAGCGGCTCTACGGATGGGCACAGCGATGCATAATTTTTAAATATTTTATATTTGTTATATTTGCCTATTAAATGTTAAATGTTTGTTTTAGGCGATTATTTTCGATATGTGTGAAGGTGAATGAAAATGAGAATTTTATACGTAATTCAAAATTACGCAGTATATAAAAATTTTATTTTATGTTTGTACGTATTCAGGTTCACTTGTATTGATGGGGTCGCATAAGATGGATTTTAGTATGATTTCAATGTAATGTATTTTTTGTGATTGTTACTGGTATTGTTATTATAGCATAATAATATTAAGTGGTTTAAGTGACCTAATACGTGTGGTAAGAATGATTTTTAATAAAATTATCTTTTTAATTATTAAGCTGTTTTTTAACTGTTCGAAATCAATATAATGAAATTACACTATTGGCTTTATGATTTGACTACCTTTTACCTGCGGCTGCGCTCACATTTAATTAAAAGCCGACATTTTATTTCTGAAATTATTGTAACTGAAAGCTGCAAAACGCTTTACTTCCATACAACTTTGCTTTTTGGGTCCTAAAAACACGCGAGCGAGCTGACCAATGATGTTAGGAAAGATATGCCGTACCCATATGTAGTTTCGCTACGTTCAAGATTTGAACTTAAAAGGAACGTTGTTTGGTATAATAGGAATGCGTGGTATGAGCACAGTCCGTCTCTTGGCTTGTCGTGAAAATTTTTGGCCTTTTGTTCAATGCATCTTAATTGCGAGTCATCGAGCTGCAGCTTTTATAGTTAGGTACATCTATTATAGTCAACGCAGCGCACGTCAATATTATTTCGATTTAAGTATTTAGACATTTTAAAAGGAAATCCAACCGTTACCTTAAATGGTCAAGCCACAGAGGCGGTATAGGTAAAAGTGGTCAAGAAACGGCCCTGCGGGTATGTCCTTTACGGTGGTGCTATGCCAGAAAAGTCTAGCTGAGTATGGTACCTACTTTTTAACCGACGAAAAAACGGAGGTTCTCAAGTCGACGTATATATTTTTTTTATGTATGACCACGCATAACTTTTTACAGAGTAGTCCGATTTTGATAATTCTTTTTTTATTGGATAGGGTATACCTCGAAATTGGTCCCATATAAATTTGGAAAAAAAATGAATCAACCCTATTTTCCCACCCTAAGGGTGGGAAAATAGGGTTGATTTATTTTTTACTCACAGATTTTAATGTTGAGTGGTGTATTACTACGAGTACATTACATAATAATTACACTACATTACATTACATTACAAAAAAACCTCACGATGAATAAGCTATAGAGCTGTCAGTCTCTTGTGTGTAGACCTCTCTGTCTCTGCATTTCTGCTAAAGCTCGTTCATCGTGAGGTTTGTGTAATACCTTATTTGGCTCTAAATCAGATATAGCAATGCCCTCAAGTGTTTTTACTCTACTCAGTGCCACATGTGCCTGTGCCTTTGGCAAACACTTTCTTTCCGAGGTCGATTACAGCTTTATCAAGGGTCGCACCTTGTAATTTGTGAACCGTGACGGCCCAGCATAAAATTATCGGTAACATCCTGCGCTCAATATCGCCATTACCCTTCGTACCTTGAAAAGTTGCTACCACTGAAGGTATGGCGACACAGCCATCGCTATCTTTTAGTCTGCTTCCTATGCTTTCATCGTCAAATTTTACTAATACGCAATCCGGTAATTCTCCTTCCTCTAGTTGATCCCTGCGTAGTGATGGCCATTTTATTATTTTTACAATACCCATAGCAGCATTGACGAGCCCGTCAGATACCGATTGTTACGTCTCAACATCACACGAGATTCGACAGCTAATTTTACTTCAGATAAAAGTCCACTACAATTGTTCACATCTTTTGGAACAACATTATCTGGAGGTTTCTTCCCATATGTAGCAAATACATTTATTAGAGCATTTAACAAATTGGGAAATCCTTCTTCACTATTGTCGTTGTCTACGTGTCCATTAAAGGCTGATTCATGACAAACATTGATATCAACTTTTCGATTGTTGTATGTGATATTGGGTAAAAGCTCAGTTGCAGTCAAATATTCGATATGTGCTTCTTCGGAATTGGGGTTAGCCCGAGCCGCAATACAGTCTCTATAATATTTATCTCCTACCAATAACATGTAATCTATGTCGCTTTTGCACCAATTATTGGGATTTATCAGAGAAAATGCCACACTAGCAACAGTTGCAATCCCTGTGCATTGCCGACCATGTGACTCTGGACTAAATCGTTCATTGTCCTGATGAAAAGAACCATATAATATAGATACATTGTTACTCAAGGCAGTATAGTTATTTGTATGTACAGTTGACCGTTCAGCAATTGATTCTTCACTATCATGACCATGTGCAGGTGCGAACATCTTTATAGAGTGCATTATTCATTAGGAGCCACTGCAATGCTAATTGAAGTTTACCTACATCTATTTGAAACTCCCTAGAACGTTCTAAATTTTCACGACTTTCTAATACAAGCACTAATCCAGTTTGATTAGGTTCAAGCGGAAGTTGCTCCGCCAGCTCAACCACATCCTAAACAAAAATAATTGCCTGCCCTTTGCACCAGTCTTGGCTCAAACGATTTTGAACTTTTATTATTTTAAGAAATGGCACTACCTACTCTGCAAATAAAACGTTTCTCAATTTCAGATAAGTCATCGATTTCTGTAGGCCTTGCAGCTACCGACATTTTATTCCAATAGGCCTACGGTGGAGTGTTGTTTTTTTAATATTATTTGAGCATCGTGAACAAGTAATAATATTACCTAAAGCTACCAATTCATTAGGGAAAATAGAGCCTAAATTTGTAGTTTGCAATATCGTACGTTGCTGAGGATACAAACTTTTTTCGAATATTGAACACGGCAAGTCAGCATAAACATTAATCGCTTTCTTAAAATTTTCTGCATTACACTGGTTTCTTCACTCGCAAGCCGCTTGTCGCATGGCGCTCAAACGATTAGTTCTCTCCTCGGGAATTCCGTGAAGTATCACCATTGCAGAACAGTTACGAGCAGCATCCAAACGTAGCAAATGTTCGTCTTCAGTTTCATTTGAAAGTCGCTCTCTTATCAGACCTAAACGGTGAGCGCGTTGTTCTTCACATTCTTGCGATAACCTATCGTTATTGTAGCTTCTCATCTTCGACAGTCTTTCCTCGCGCTGATCTAAACACTCCTGTGAACGTGTTAATCTAATTCTCTTTCTATTTCCTTCCAAACTTTTATTTTTCTCATTATTAGATTCTTCTAAATATCTTTTTCTCATTCGAGCAGCATTTTTTGTAGGCCTACCCATGGTGGTATATAAAGCCTGTTTTTTAAAGAATTTATATAATTATACAACAAATAATAGTTAAAGTAGGATTATATACCTATCAGTTAAAGGCTAAATTAAGGTAAGTAGCTAATTTGAAAGTAGTCAAAAACTAAGCATGTAGTAATTAGTAGATTATAGCCATGAAAATTTTTAAAATAAAAATTTTTTAACAAAAAAATTAAACCGCCGAAAAAACTGAAAAGCAAAAAATAATAAACCTTTTTTATTTAACCTTAATAACTAAGTTCTTAAACTAATTTAAGTATACCTAAGTAGGTATATATTTTTGTAATTATTTTGAGTTTTTAATTAACCCTAATAACTAACTTCTAAAACTAATGTAAGTATATCTACCTAAGTAATTTTGAGTCGGCGCCAAACAATGAATGAACAAAGAACACTAAATTACCTTAAATTTAAAGAAATAACTAAATCAAAATCAAATTAACAATGCAACGTGAAATCTTCAGCGATAAACATTTAAGCTGAACGCACATTTGTCCGCGCCTACGCGCCGTAGGGGAGAGTGGGGCAAGACGGGGTGCGGGGCAAGACGGAGTGACCGATCTTGAGCGCGAACGAAATAGCCAATCAGGATCGTTTTAGCAGCTGACGTCGCGCCGCCATTACGGCAATCAGTCATCGAAGTGAGCGCACAAAGACTCCACGCGTTTTATTTGTTTTCTGGAAAAAACTTTTTTGACAAATAGCTAGTGATTTTTCTATACTATATAGGGCGTGTAATTTCCGTAAATAATAACACCTCGGAATTGATTTAAATGGTATCAAATGTGACAATAACTACACTAACAGGTAAGAACTTGTTTTTCTCTGTGCTGCGTATTGGTTTTATTAAGTATTTTTTTAAATTTGATTCGGCATGCGGGGGCAAGATAGGGTCAGTCGGTCGGTCGGGAACCCCATCTTGCCCCTTAGCCTTTGCAAGCGGCGTATAAATGTCTAATTTACTGTGTATTTTGTTCTAGAATGGTGAGAAATTATAAAAAAAAAAACAAGTAGAGGGGATTGGTCAGAAGAAAGTATGAAAGATGTTGTGAAAAATGTGGTTGAAGGAAAAATTGGCTACAAGCTTGCAGCAAAACCATTTTCTGTCCCACAAACAACTTTAGAAAGAAAAGTGAAGCTTGCGCGAGAAAGTTTAGATAAGAATGATCCAATGACTGTTAAATTTAAGGTACCGTTAGGCCCAAAAGAGAAAGTTTTTACTGATAATGAAGAGGAAGAGCTATGTAAATACATAATAGATATGGAGAGTAGGCTTTATGGACTGACAATGAAAGACTTAAGAGGTTTAGTCTATAGACTAGCGGTAAAAAATAACAAACGTCATCCGTTTAACAATGAAAAAGAAGAAGCCGGGAAAGACTGGGCATTAGGATTTTTAAAAAGGCACCCAGAACTGTCTATTAGACAGCCTGAAAGTACCTCATCCGCACGTGCTGCTGGTTTCAATAAACAGGTGGTAGACCAGTTTTAACATCTGCTGAACGAGGTACGACCATTACAGTAGAAATCTGTTTTAGTGCTAGTGGTAATTTTATGCCACCCATGATGGTATATCCTAGAAAAAGAATGGATCCGCAACTTATGATTAATGCTGCCCCCGGAGCTTGGGGAGTTTGCAGTGATTCGGGCTGGATGACTTCAGAACTTTTCCTAGATTGGTTTAAAATGTTCGTCAAATTTAGCGGAGCAACACCTGAGCATTCTGTTTTGTTATTATTGGATGGACATAGTACTCATACGAAGAACATTGATCTCATAAATGAAGCACGCACTCACGGCGTTATCATTTTATGTTTCCCACCACATACAACTCACCGTCTTCAGGTTGCAGACGTTGCTTACATGAGACCGTTAAGTACCTACTACGATCATCAAATCATGCCGTGGCTTCGCAGCAACCCAGGGATGACTGTCACTGTCCGACAAGTAGCTGAAATTTTTGGAAAGGCGTTCATACAAGCGTCTACGATGTCAACAGCTGTCAATGGTTTTAAGAAATGTGGGATTTGGCCATATGATCCAACAGTATTCTCTGAGACCGACTTTGCTCCATCTTTGATGACAGATATTCAGCTTAATGTATCCGACGCACCTGCAAGCGATAATAGTTCGTTGATAATGGAATCGTCATCCACAGAACCAGCAACAAATAATCAGAATGCGCCAATTATATCTGAAGCCATTTCTGTTGCGGCAACTTTGACGGATGCAGCAGTGACGCCAGTAACAGTGGAAACAGAAACATTGTCGAGACTTGATACTGCCGCTAGTATTTCTGCGAGTACGTCACTATCAACTAATCTGGTTACTGCACTTACTGTGCTACCTAATACAATGTCAACCCCTGAACCAGGATGTTCTTACTGGCTCGATAACTCCGATCTACACGAAGGACCACGAACTCCGCAGCAATCAATATTTGGTGTCGTAAGTCCGCAGCAAATAATGCCCTTTCCAGCAACTACAAAAACATCTCGCTCAACTAGAAAACGAGGAAAAACCGCGTTGATCACATCTTCGCCGTATAAGAATGAGTTAGAAGAAACGATTAAGAAAAAGGAACAAGCGGAAGAGGATAAACAGAGAAAAAAAGGGCTGAGGGAACTTAAAAAATCTGAAAAAGACCCGGCAACTAAGAAGAAAAGAGTAACAAAGAAGAAACAAGGGGCTAAGAATAGATCATTAAACGAGAATAGTGACAGCGATATTGAAAATACACCTTGTTTGTATTGTAAAGGCCTATATTTGGACTCAAATGAAGGCTGGGCTGCTTGTTCAGCATGCGGCAAATGGGCTCACTGCAGCTGTGCAGGTGTGGACGACGAAGATGCAGATACCGTGTTCACTTGTGAACATTGTGAACAGTCCTAAATAGTCGTTTGCTGCGTACCCCATCTTACCCACGGGGTACCCCATCTTACCCTAGGGGTGGGGCATGATGGGGTGAATGGTGTATTTCTACGTTTTGATTTTTTTTTAATTTTATTATGTTGATAAGACTGCCAAATACTCGTTAACAATGAAGACTGATTATCTAAGAAGATTATAAGAATAAAACAAATTAATAAAACTCTTTACGGTCAATTTTATTTAACATCAAACCTTAAGGACCCCGTCTTACCCCACTCTCCCCTACGTGCCGAATTTTGCTGATGGCCTCGCACATTTGCACGTACGCAAAAGTTGCAAGAATAATGGGCATAATTCTTGCAACTTTTAAAAATACATTGCGGCATTGTGAAACGTGTTTACATTGGCTGTGTTTCAAATCAAGTAAACGAAATAAGAGCTCACGTCTCCAGTGCGCTGTTATTTACTTGGACGTATTTTTTGCTCCAACCCGATATCTAGTTGGTATTGTTGATCGAAGGCTTTACGTAATTAATTAATTTGCTTGTTTGGCGCCGACTCAAAATTACTTAGGTATACTTACATTAGTTTTAGAAGTTAGTTATTAGGGTTAATTAAAAACTCAAAATAATTACAAAAATATATACTTAGGTATACTTAAATTAGTTTAAGAACTTAGTTATTAAGGTTAAATAAAAAAGGTTTATTATTTTTTGCTTTTCAGTTTTTCGGCGTTTTAATTTTTTTGTTAAAAAGTTTTTATATTCTATATATATAGAAGGTTATAAAATCCAATTGAATGTGCGTGCTGTTTTCGAGTCATTACGAAACGTCTCGCAGACTTGACGACTTCCAGCCTCTTAAACAAACCAGTTATCCGAAAAAGCTTTAATAACACAGGCCACATACATATCCTACGGCAGGTTAAACAAAAGACTGAAGAGTATGAACTGCCGCTATATCTGACGTATGTGGACTAACGAAGGCCATCGATTTTAAGTTTACAATCGGTACATCCAGGTGCTGAAGTGCTTGTATAATAACGCAACGATGTCTATCCAAGTACAGAACCAGAGTATGAAACCAATAAAACTACAGAGAGGTGTAAAACAAGATAAGGTTATATCCCTGCTGGTAAAGGTAACTTCACCGCTGTATTAGAAGACGATTTCAAACTACTGGACTGGAAAGGACGTTATGGTGTCAATCAATGGTAAATACATCGTTCTTATCGATTTGTCGACGATAATGTTACCATGCTCAAAGCCCTCAGTAGTTTTTTCCAACGGATAGGTATTAAGATGAACATAGATCAGACAAAAGTTATATCTGACCTTACACGGTGGCATAACGAATATCTATTTTTTTTTAAAAAAACGTAACCTCCACACTAAAATTATCTCCTGTATTGTGTGGGCAGTTTATAAACATAATTTGCACAAGAACAAACATCCAGACTTGGACCAATTATTTGTAGGCCATACAAATACTTGTTCCGTGCGGGATTTGAACACGCGCCCCTTAGCGAATTGCTAAGCCACTCCGCCATGTCTGTCATTGCTTAAGTAAAGTAGAAAAAGTAGTAAGTAATAAAAGTAAGTTATAAAATCTCCAGACTGGTAAATCAGAATCAAAAGTGTAGGATATCTGTAATCACCAATCTGCCTCTAAACTATCCTAACCCTACTACTTGTGGGTGAACTAACTTTTACGTGGTAGAGCCATGCTCCAGCTATGTTATGTTTGTAGCACGAATGGGTCGGCTCGACCGGGGTGAGACCACGCTCTCACAAAATACCAGCGTAAAATGGTAGCTTAATGCTGCTGTGTTTCATATGGTGAGTGTAGTGAACCAGAGACCATTTTTACTGGAAACGTTCATTTGTCACATTCTATAAAAAAAAAAATCTAACGTCCATGTTACACCTAGTACTAGGTACCGGTAGTTGCTGGGAACTACGCTTCAAGCCAAGTGGTCAACCGACGAATCCAACTCGTTTGAGCTTCGACAATTCTTGTCCGATATTCCTTAGAACCTTCAGACGAAAATGTACATGCGTGTTGCCAGTAATGGCTTACGGACCGAAACGTGGTCCTTCACAGCTAGCCGTATGCGGAAACTCAAGATCACTCAGCGAGCGATGGAAGGTGATGTATTTGGAATTTCTCTGCGCGACAAAATCCGTAACGAAGATATTCGGAGAAGAACAACAGTACCTTACATAGCCCAGCAGATCAAGTAGGCTGAAGAAGCAATGGGCCGGCCATCGGTATGCCTCCAAGAATCGACAACCGATTCTAAAGTCTCTCGTCAGTGTATGAGAAATGAAACAAGAAGTAAAATTTTTAAAAATATTGTACAACCCACTTCAATATAAATAAAATGAGTCAATTAAATACGCATTATTAAGGATAACTCAAACACTACTGGTCACATCTTGATCAAATTTGGGACCACATGAGAAGCACCAGCTTTCAAATAAAAAAAGAATCATCAAAATCGGTTCACCTAGAAAAAAGTTCTGAGGTTAACGCACATAAAATAAATAAATATGGAGTAGTTTCATATTAATGTTAATTGTGCAGGGTGTTCGCATCAATTATCACTTTGACATTTCACAAGGTGTGGGAGACACATGTCAACCAGATGGAGGGATGTGTAGTTATTTACAACTTTGTGATTTTAGAGAAAAGTATTACAAAAAGAAGAAGTATCATTATACCACAAAAATGTTTATTGAAATGAAAAAAGAATATTTAAGTAGAGTACAGTTATGATTTAGGAAGTTGCTTCTTGGCGGCTTCGGCTTCTGCCTCGCTCTTTTCAAAATCAGCTATAAGTTTTTCCACTTCTGAGCTTGTTAAAATTCTGATTATGGTTTTGTTATCCTTACGAGTAAGTGTTGCCATCTCAACTGAAAATTTTATAAATATAAATATATTAGTACTTAAATATTTACATACACCTAACTTATAAATTACATAGATTAGCCTGCAAAATTTTTCCGAAAATGTGTCTGTGTAAATAAACTACTGGTTGGTCAAGCACAAAGAGTGAACAAAATAGATCTCTAAAATTTCATTTTATTTCCTTTTTAGCGCGCAGCAATATGCTGGGTGGTAGAAATCCATTTTTGCCTAGCAGTCTGTCTAGGCAGACGTCACTCTCTTACCTATTTCTACCACTAAATAGCAGTGCTTGCATTGCTGTGTTCAGGGTATAGAGAGCCAGTATAATCACAGGCTGTGAGGCATATCTTAGTCATACTTAGTCTCAGTAGTGACAATGCACCTGTAGCCTACTTTGTATAAAGTTGGCTGCAGGTGTCCATAGCCTGCAGTAGCCACTTACCATCAGTTGGACTTAGTTTCTTTATCAATTCAGTGTATAAGAAACAAACAGGACATAAGCATCTACACTCCTCTGGTAGTTCCTGCCGTACCTTTTGATTAGTCTGGATTTTGTATATCTGGAATGAGACGATTTACCACCATTTACCAGATACCATGAGATCTTTTTGGCTTTTCCAAGCGTCGCCTCTAATGAGTGTCATCCACAGATTCATCTTCTTGTTTCTTAACAAACAGCTATATTTACCATAATAGAACATAGTTTAAATTGTGATAGTGTAATGAAGAGATTCCTAAAGTGGGTTCCGTTGAAAAGTCACCAGGGTTCTGCGACATTATTTACTTTTGCTTGTTAAATATTTTCACACTTAGATACAAATATTATTTTGAAATAGCTCAAAACATGTGATGAGAAGAACCCATTAGTTATGTAGGTACGTACTACGTAGGTAGTTACCGAGAATTATATTATAATATTTCAATTGCACTGTCTATGATATGTAATCATTGTATGTAGGGTAAAAGAAGACAATAAAATAAAAGGGATTTGATAAGAGTTCCATTGTCTTAAAAGTTTGGGGACCACTGGTGTAATATATAATAATAACATACATATATAACATGAATTCCATTTTTGTTATTAATATCTCATTAATAATTATGAAAATGAGATGGTGCATGCATGTTTAAAAACCCTTTAGATACTATATTACCAAAAACTGCCCTGACAAAGTCTGCTACTTAATGTGCAATTAAGACAATAAGTTTTTTAGCCTTGAAATTTGTAGAGAAAGGATACTCTCACTCTAACATTTAACCATCGTTCCTTATGCCTAGAGGATTTGGTCTTTCTAAAGCAGTTTTTGTAATTTAACCATTGGTTCTACTATGGCTAGGGGATTTGGTCACTCCAAAGCAGTTGTATAATTTACTGCAGTCTATATACACTTTCAACCAACTTCAAAGAAAGTATCCTTCACTATGCAACACTATTTGGCAGCAGATACAAAATGTCTGTAATATATCTGCTTTTTACCAAAATAAATGAAAAAAATAAGTACTTTATTTTGTGTCATTATAGATATTATATAAGGTCACAGATATTTTTTTATGTATTACCTTTCTCTGGTGTGAGCTTGGTCATATCCAAGGTCTTACTAAGGACCTTAATTGCCAAGGCTTGTGCTTCTGCCAGTGTTGTTTCATTCTCTTTGTATTCTTGCTTAAGACTTGATACAGCAGCCTATAAATTTAAATTTTAATAATAACTTATTATACAAAATGTTATAGTAAAATAGTTAAGTCACACTATATGTATAATTAAGTCTCAAAGTAAAACTTACAGCACTATTGTTGCCAATACACGTGGCCTTCCATCCTCCATAGTTACCACTAGGATCAGATTGATATAATTGGTAGCCATAGTGTTTATCCCAGCCCATATACAAAATGGATACACCAAACGGCCTCTTACCTAAAAGCAATTGATTTGTTTAAAAATACCATATCATTGTTTGGTCAGTCTTAGTTCTTACGGTGCGTACATATTATATAACATAACATGTTATAAAATTTTATATAACATGTTTTAGTAATGTGGAGACTGAATGTTATAAAACGTGTTATTTAACGTGACACAAATGTTATATAACTAGAGAGTAGTTTTCTCTAGTGAATAAACAAGGACGAACCCAGTATCTATGTTTTTTTCCTTTGTTATTTAAAAGTACAAGAATTGCTGCAGCAGCTAGCAAAACATCATCTTGTGTCGACATTGTGAATAACACTGCAGAATGACAATCGACAATATCATATAACATTATTATAATGCATTGTTATTCTAATGTGTACAGTATTGTTAAATATTGCAATGTTGAAAAACAATGTAACATAATGTGGACATGCTATAAAACAAAAGTTACACAACATGTTACTTAATCTGTACACACCCTTAGACTAGATACTGCAGTGTAAGGTCCTCATCACTAGAAGGAGTGACAATCTAATAAGATAAACAAGAAGTCTATGGCTGCAGGTAGCTCAGGACAGTGGTTGTTGGGAATTGTCTACATTCAGCAGTAGACTTGTAGGGCTGCAATGGTAATGAAGTTGTTGATGCTGACAAAAAGATGTCAGTAGGCATTCCAGTTTTACATGTAATTAAAAGGATTTAAGCACTACAGCAAAAAAATTCTAGCTCTAATTAAAGAAAGCAAGTTAATAGCCTGATAAAGGTAAACACTTTAAATTGTGCATTATATATTTCAATACTAGCTGGAACCCAGCGCATTGCTGCCACAAAAAATAATTGTCCAAATATTGTTTTAAATTTGGAAGAGTTTATATTGTTTAATCAGGAATGATAATTCATTAATTAAAGTTGAGTGATATATAACTTTCAAAAAAATTTGTTGGTACAATATGCGTGCCACCTATTGTAGGTTAATAGTACTATGCCAACCTTATCACAAGTGCAAACAATAAGTTGACAAAGTTTTACCGCAATCTGATGAACGGTATGGTAGGGCATAAAATACGAACAAACAAAAATTAATTTTTATGTATTAGATGATTTACAAATATTTTAATATCTATATGGGAGACATTCAGTACCTATTACAATTTTCAAACTATCTGCTGAACGCAAGGCAATTCGCTTAGAGTGGTCTGTGTCATACCATGTAATTTTCACAGGCTTAAAAAACAAAACCTACAGTTCATAATTAGGCACATGAAATATTAACAATAATTTACCTCCATATTGTGTATATGCTTGCTTAACATCACAAAGCCAAGACACAAGTTGTTCACATGGGATTGATTCTCCATATTGTAGTAGATACCTCTGGGCAATGAGACGTAACTCATTAGTCAAAACATTTGCATCTGACGTAATCCCGGCGACAGAACACACCATGTCGTCATTTAATCTGTATATTTTTTCAGAGAAGAAAACTTCATCTAGCAGTTTGTTGGTATTACGACGTTCTGCCGCAAGTAATATCCCATCTGTAGCCAGAATGCCGAGCGATGTTCCAGCATGACTGATAGCTTCCATTGCATATTCAACCTGATACAGGCGCCCTGGAGAAAATTACAATCATGTTCAAATGCAATTTTTTTAAGTTTAATTAAGTTTGACCGATCCTGCAATAATTACCTTCGGGTGAAAATATTGTTGTACGAGTATCATAACGCCGAGCCTATAAAAATAAAGTGTTGTATTAGACATGAATGACCAAGCAAGATATAACTAACCTAATAAATTTAGCAACTGAGCTATGTATTGAAACAAAAATTATATATAGCGCAATTATCTTACCATGGTAATAAGTTATTGATTCCTTTGTATAAGAAAACAAACTAGGCTTTTTAAAATATGATATCACTTTTTAAAAACAACTTCGCCGGATGATTGACAATGACACCACAATGACAGTAAACTTTTCAATTTAATTTTTTTTTAATTTATTACATGGTAATGAAATTTTAAAAGTTGAGCCTTGTCTGATTTGACAAAGATTATTCACTACATGCTGGTGCACATTGCAATATGAGGTTTTAGAAGATTTCGAAGACAGCTTAAAAAGCTTTGTGATTTTTATTTTATTTCCGAAATCAAAAGAAAACTTTGAGGGAAACGTTTTATGGACGCCGAGGTAGCAGGGGCTGCGTTTCAAAATGCCGTCGAAGAGACGCCCTAGGGACGAATAGGCAAAGTGCTTTTCTCATTGGTTCCATCGGATGCAGCGATGTATTGATATATATGGACACTGTTTTGAAAATATATAATAAAACTAATAACTTGCTAGTTTGTTTGGTTTTTTATTTTCTAAGAACTTTCAGTGTCACCCTCGCATGTATGTGTTTATGGGCAACTGAATGGACTATATTTTGAGTTGGACTGTGTACTTACTTGTCACTCTTATAAAACAATAACCATCTTATTTTTTCATTTTAAGCAAATTAAAAATTTTTAGCAAACTAACTGTCGATTATTATCAATGATTAATTTTTTTTTCATAAGGCGTATGGTCTAAAACTAAGTTTTAGTGGTTTTGTCCCGTTTTCCACAAGTGTGACAATTGGTTTTGTAAATTTAGTTTCTGTGATGTTATTTCTGTTAGCCTACGCGGCTCTTACAGCTTCTTCGGACCGAGTGCTCTCGGCCTCAAAAGGCCATTAGCTAGGTTCTGTAAAGTAACAACCTTAGATTAAACTCCCTACAGGAACATAGGTCTCCTTTTATGCCTAAAAGAATGACAAGGAAGTATTCGCGGCTCATTGCGTGTTGGCGGTCTTCAAGACGTCGAAATATTTTTTAATTTCTCAGACTTGCAGGTTTCCTCGCGATATTTTGCGATAAAATCCGTTAAGAATATCATTCAACTCTAACAAGGAATACTATCGCAAAATATCAATTCAGTTGATCGGTAAGGGGTCAGGGGTCATGAGACCAAACCACAGATTTTAGAGAGTGGTATATTGTAATAGAAAAATCGGCTCCCACTTTAACTTTTTAAATTACACCACTGAAAACACATCATTACTTTAGATTAAAATATATCGACAACTGTACCATAGAAAGTTCTGAAAATAGAAATAAGCTCCAAAAAAGTTGCCAAATATGTAGTTATAATTATATAATATAATATGCCGATTTTGTATATTCAAGTGGCAGTAAACAGCAACCCATGCTATGCTACTGTATCATCTGCGCAATGATAATATAGTGCTACAAGTACACGCGACTACGTCCCTGGAACAATAAGATAGGATGTGTATTATCTTTGCATATTTTGTATTTTTACTTTCGGAGACTCGGTGACAATCACACAGAAACGTAAATCAAGAACTTAGTTATTAAACAATTGTAGTCTTTGAATGGGATTCAAAAGCAGGACGTGCAATTCATAATCAAGTACCATTTTTTTACATCATAAGTGTGGCAAACGAGCACACACTACTAAACCAAACTAAATTAAAAACACCATTACATACTTTCACATACCGTTACCGTTACAGGCTATTAAAGTCCATTGCCGAATATAGGCCATAGAATGCCTCATAGGATATATTTGGCATAGTTCCCACGCTAGGAAAGTGGGTTGGCGACCACAGTTTTTTATTTTTAGTCGTTATTAGGAAGATGCTGCTGCCCATTTCCTAATTTGTTTCTCTATGTCGCCTCTTACGACACCCATGGGATGATATAGGGTAGTGGATATTCTTGCACCACCTCTAAACGGTAAACATGTACACATACAGGGCAAATTAATAAAAATGTGTGAAGATAGGCTAGAATGTGGTTATGTGCGTGTCTCAAGCATCTCTGACACGGGAATAATTTATTGTCGTTTTGCGTGTATTGGAACGGAAAAGTAATAATTAACGTTCTTAAACTAATAAATATTTGCTCCATGTTTTCTGAATCACTAGGCCTCGCTGTCAACATAACAATGTAAATAATTATTACATTTATAAAACTAAAAAAAGTGCAAAAGATATTGGCAGCGGTGGGATTCGAACCCACGCCTCCGAAGAGATTGGTGCCTTAAACCAGCGCCTTAGACCGCTCGGCCACGCTACCTTGTACTAATGAGTATGAAATTAATGTATACATTCTCTTGAACTATTCTCTAAAGTTACAACCTATACACGTCCCAACACTGGGTACAGGTCTCCTCTAATTTCTGAGAGACTTTTAGGGAATGGAAATGTACGCCGCACTACATTTCCAAGATATTTTTTTTTCTTACATCTCAGACATGCATGCAGGTTTTCTCACCATGTTTTTCTTCAGCGCCGAGCATGTGGTAAAGCAGCACTTTCAATTACACTTGCAATTAGCAATTTCATTGGTGTCGACGGATATCGGTCTCGGGTTGCTCGCGTACTGTGAAATTTACAGCGTGGTATTGTTCCCTATTTTCGATTAATTTTATAAAAATATAAATTTATTTTGATTTGAAGTTTCAAATGTAAATTTATCTTAATTAATTTATATTTATTTTTTAATGTTACAAATGTAATATTTACATAGAAAAATAAGCCAACGACCACAGCTGTATGATAGGGACTTTCCTGGAACGCCTGTAGTCGTTCTGATTTCTACGAAATGACGTAAGACGTAGTTCACGTGAACCATAGAAAGCTGTAAATGCATGAAGGTTTATTCCGTAATAATAGCGATGGGCTTTGAATGAACGAACTACTACCGACTTCGAATCGCTTAGATTTTAAATCCAGGAGCCGTAATCAAGTAATACGATAGTCAAACCCATGAAGCTAATACAAAGGGGAGACGGCATAAGCAAGGCGTGGCTTTAGTTAGTATTTCCCTATATATAATGTACTCTGTGGTTAGTATACTGTCAGCATTCGTCCTGTGCGCTTATGTGTTGAAAAAATCGCAAATCGGTGTATTTTCGTAGTATTAAGAAGAAAAGGATGAAGTGTTGTGTTTTATTGTGTAAAAACTACTCAGATAGACGCTCTGATGTTATGAATGGCATCACATTTCATTTGTAAATAATTTTACACCTAATTTATTAAAATAGTTCTAGAAAAATCTCTTTGAGTCGGCTTTCAAATATAATTAAATATATTCGACACTAGATGGCGGCACTTTGTGTCATGTGAACTAAAAATATAAAGGTCCGTAGAGCTCAGTATTAGTAAAATAATCATACGAAGGTGCTGAAATTTGTTTTGCATTCTGACATAAAGAGATTTTAATCGTAAAATATTATTTTTATAGTTTATAATAATTTTGAGAACAGGCCGTATTCTCGTCAAGTAAACCTCATAAAAATGACAAAAAGACAGGGCCCTAATTAGAATTCAATAATTTTTCCCAGTAATCCAACTTTTAATATTAAATGCAGGAAATTGTACTTAGGCTGATTTTTACGAAATGTTTAAGTTATATTTAAGTGACATTCTATATGCAAATAATCACTTAATCACCGAAGCCTATTTATATTAATTGTTAATTTCTCAGTATTCCCATTAGATACGGCAAAACTTACGAGGGCGACACTGAAAGTTTGGCCACTTGTAAACGATATAATAAAAAAGTAAGTTCAAACTTTGAAATTGGAACTCTTTGCCAATATTATAGTGTAAGTATTTTATTAATTTGCTATTTCAAATTTGTTATTTGCCGCCAAATCGTAAACAAATAACTTATTTGTTTACGATTTGGCGGTAAATTGAAAATTGTCTGTGTCACGTCAGGATGAATTTAACGCAAGAAATTTTTCGTACAATGATTTATTATGACTTTCGATGTCATTTAAGTCAACAAGAAAGTTATGATAGACTTCGATTGGCCTTTCACGATGAAGCCCCATCTCGTGCCACTGTTTACAACTGGCTTATTGAGTTGAAACGTGGTCGCACTAATCTCACCGATGATCTGCGTGAGGGACGGCCTTCTACGGTGACGACTGAAGATAACATCAGTGTTGTGCAGCGTATGATAGAGAGTGACAAAAGAGTGACTTATCAGCAGATTCGGACAAGCTTAGGCATTGGTATGAGTCAAGTGCACAAAATCGTCCATGAACATTTAGCGCTCAGGAAGCTTTGTGTCCGGTGGGTACCTTATAATTTAATAGAGGCCCAAAAACTCCGTCGTGTTGTATAGTGTCGTGAAATGGTACAAAGATTTAACGGAGGTGACTCAAATGCTGTGATCGACATACTTACGGGTGATGAAAGCTGGATTTATTGTTATAATCCTGAAACTAAAAGACAATCTGCTGTCTGGCTGTTTCCTTCCGAAGAGTTGCCAACTAAAGTGAAGAGAGGTCGAAGAGTGGGAAGAAAGATGGTGGCATCAGTCTTTGGAAGGACAGGTCATTACGCAACAATTGTTTTAGAGGATCGAAAAACAGTTACTGCAGAGTGGTACACTAACAATTTTTTGCCACTTGTCTTGAAAAAAATTCGGGAGAAACGACCTCGCAGTAGGATCCTCCTTCACCACGGCAACGTCAACGCACACACCGCCAAGCAATCAATCGACTACTTGACGACGTCAGACGTGGAATTACTGGGTCACCCGCCCTATAGCAACGACCTCGTACCTTGCGATTTTAATTTATTTAAAGTTGTGCATTTTCTAGCCTACATATTTATTTATCTGTGGCATTTTCATTTTGACACTTGACATAGGGATGGGCAAGGGAAAAATATATCGATATATATCGAATCGATATTTATACAGTATTGACGATGACGATATATCGATATAACGTCATCATTTGCATGATGTAAACATAAGGTCCAAAATTTTATATCTTATATACTTATATTACT